TCTTTGCCCGGTGTATTTTATGTGCAATTAAAACAGTGAAACTATCCTCGAAGAGAAGGATCGCAGCGTCCTCCTGTCTTAAAGTGGGATCTTCCCATCAGGGCTGCATCCCATTGACCTGGGAGAGCTGTGGTGCTGGTTTTGGGGTCGGGGATTATGGATCCGTACTCACTGGGTACTCGCAGGGAGACGGCGGGTTGCTGCCTTACCTGTGTTTTAGGCTGAGTTTTCCCCTTTCTTATGCTTAAAAAAATAACCAGCTTGGTTTTGAGTGGTGCAAAAGCCCCGGAGAAGCTGGAATTGCCTTTTGTCCTTGTCCTGAGCCAGGTGAGCACACGCCAGCCTGAGCCCCGTGGTCACTGCACACCGGTGGTGGATGCAGGATGAGTCCCAGGGATGCTGGGAAGCACGTGAGCATCCTCCGCTCTGCTGTGCTTGAGTCCCAGCATGGCTTTGGCAGCAGGAGGGGGCTGATGAGGCAGAGCTGGGTGTCTCGTCCCTGTCCCTGCAGTGGGGAGAGCATCCTCGGGCTGTGTCCCAGTGGTGGATAACGCTTGAGGGCTGGACTTGTGCTGGGAGCGGGAGGTTTCCTGCGCTCTCCTTTGGTCCGTGCATCTCATCCTGGGGACTTTCCATAGGTCCCAGGGCAGGGAAGTGTCCATGGGGCAGAGACGGGCAGATTTCCATCAGCCCAGGCTGCAGCTCTCCTGTACGGAACCTGGACCCTCTGGGCTGCATCCGGCACGGATGCTCGGTGCCCCGCAGTAGCTCGGGTCTTATCCTGCGACTCCATACAGTGCTGGGGGGGCTCTGAGAGCAGCCCCTGGCCCCGAGGATTGTTTTCCTTCCAAGCCCCCTCCTCTCCTCCCTTGGCAGTGCTTGCACGTGTCTCCTCTCTCTGCTCTGCAGTGAGCAAAGGTAAAACTCGTGTCCTTCCAGGCTGCAGAGTCCTTAAGCACGGCTTGGGATGCCTACTGTGAATTTTTCCTCTTAAAAGCTTTTTTTTCTTTGTTTTGGCTTTTTTTTTTTTAACAGTACATAGGAGTTCCTTATGAAATTGCTTTTACTTTATACCTACCCGCACGCGTGCGCCTCGTACCCTGCGAGCAGAGCGCAAAGAACAGAAAACTCTCCCCGAAGCCCGCAACGTCTTCGGG